ATCTGCAATATTTGAAATCAAGAGCATACTCCATGACTTGCGTCAAGAAGACCGCTCAGTCACAGAGTATTTTAATACTCTCAATCGTCACTGGCAGCAACTGGATGTATATGATGAAGCTGAATGAAGCTGCACAGAGGATAAAAAGAAGTACAAAGAATTGGTGGAGAAAGATAGAATCTACAAATTTCTCTTAGGTTTGAACACAGAACTTGATGAAGTTCGTGGGAGAATCCTTGGAACCAAACCTCTTCTAAAAATTCGAGAAGCATTCTCGGAAATACGAAGAGAGGAAAGCAGGAGAAAAGTGATGCTTGGAAAATCCAGTGCAGCCCCATCTATAGAAGGATCGGCAATGGCAGCAAGGGGAGATCATCGATCTTTCCAAAAGAAAACACGGCCATGGTGTGACCACTGCAAGAAACCGGGTCATACCAAAGACACATGTTGGATCATTCATGGAAAGCCATCAGAGCTAAAATGGAGCAAAAACCGGGACAGCAGAGGGAACACAGTTGAGGTAAATTCTCACTCATCACCATTCAACAAGGAGCAAATGGAAGCCTTACAAAAATTGCTTCAACAAACAATTGGTACAGCTACTGTGGCACAAAAAGGTAATTTTTTGCATGCTCTAAACACTAGCAGGGGAAAACAAAAATCATGGATTATTGACTCAGGAGCATCTGATCACATGACTGGAGATTTGATTGTCTTTGATAGCTATTCTCCATGTCAAAATAATTCGACTGTTCGAATTGCTGATGGTACCCTTTCTAAGGTCATGGGTAAAGGTTCAGTCATTATTTCGCAAAATATTACTCTTAGTTCAGTACTCTGTATGTGCCTAAACTTGATTGTAACTTGCTGTCCATAAGTAAACTTACAAAGGATTTGAAGTGTATCACTAAATTCTTTCCTAACCTGTGTGAATTTCAGATTTTGGAGTCGGGGAGGACGATTGGCAATGCTAAAGAATGTGCTGGACTCTATATCCTTCAGGCTGAAGCATCTAAACCAGAATTCGAGGCAACTTCTTGCGCTGTAGTTTCTGCATGTAGTGAAAATTCTGCAATGCTGTGGCACTATAGACTAGGCCACCCAAATTTTATGTACTTGGAAAAAATGCTTCCTAAACTATTCAATAAAAATCAGAAGTTGTTTCAATGTGAAATTTGTCAATTGTCCAAACATACACGCAGCCCCCACCCACCTCAACCCTATAAACCTTCCCAACCTTTTTATGTTATTCATAGTGATGTATGGGGACCATCGCGGGTCAGAAATGTAACTGGAGCAAGATGGTTTGTCACATTTATTGATGACCACACACGGATCACTTGGGTCTACCTTATGAAAGATAAATCGGAAGTTGGTAGGATATTTGAATGTTTCCATACCATGGTGCAAACACAATTTCAAAGCAAAATTAGAGTGCTTAGGAGTGATAATGGTCGTGAGTACTATAATTCTGCACTAAGCTCATACTTTACGCAACATGGAATAATACACCAAACCTCATGTGTGGATACACCTCAGCAGAACGGGGTTGCCGAGAGAAAGAATAGACACCTCCTAGAAGTAACCCGATCTCTCATGCTAGCTACAAATGTACCTAACCAGTTTTGGGGAGAAACTGTCCTCTCTGCAACCTATCTAATAAACAGAATGCCTTCCCGAATCCTTAACTTTCATACGCCTTACTCCACTCTCCAAACCTTATTCCTAACCAATCGTATTCTTACATCTATTCCTTTGAAAATATTTGGATGCACAACCTTTGTCCATAATCTTGATCCCCAACGCAGTAAACTTGACCCGAAATCCATTAAATGCATATTCCTCGGCTACTCTCCTCACCAAAAGGGATACAAATGTTATTCACCTCAAAACAAAAAATTCTACCACACCATGGATGTAACCTTTTTTGAGAATCAGCCATATTACCCCAAAGTTGGCATTCAGGGGGAGAACACATATCCAATTGAAGTGGTAGAAATCCCAACTTTTGGAACTTGAGCTAACTGAACCCAAACTCACTGCAGAGGCATCAAAACCTACACCTGAACCAAATGAAAATGCAACAGAAACTGCAGAACTTACATGTGGACCAGAAGAAACTACGTTAGAAAATACAGAGGAAATTGCAGTAGAAACTGCAGCCCCTACAACAGAAACTGCACCAGGAAACAACATGAAAGTGTACTCCAGGAAGAACAAGAAGGGAATAGAGTCCTGCACAACTCCAAGGCAGAACCAAGAAACCTCCAAGACTCCAGAAAATGGTGTTCCCTCAGGTAATACTGCTCCTAACTCTGAATGTTGATATTGATATTCCTATTGTGTTGAGAAAAAATGTAAGATCATGTACCAAACATCTCATTGAAAGATTTGTATCTTATGGAAAATTGTCCCAAAGTTACAAGACTTTTGTAACAGCTCTTGACAATACACATATTCCAAGCAACATCCATGAGGCACTCCAAAATTCTGAATGGGCAGCAGCTGTAACGGAAGAGGTTCAGGCCTTAATTAAGAATGACACTTGGGAAATCACAAGCCTACCTGCAGGGAAGAAGCCGGTAGGATGCAAATGGATATTCTCCATGAAGTATAATGCAGATGGGAGTGTAAATCGGTACAAAGCTCGACTTGTAGCAAAGGGATTTACTCAATCATATGGAGTAGATTATGAAGAGACTTTTGCACCGGTGGCAAAACTAAACTCCGTTAGAGTTATTCTCTCTTTGGCTGCAAATTTAGATTGGCCACTCCATCAACTAGACATCAAGAATGCCTTCTTAAATGGTGACCTAGAAGAGGAAGTTTATATGCAGATTCCTCCTGGACTCGAATCATCCAGCACCGCAAATATGGTGTGCAGGCTCCGAAAATCCCTTTATGGCCTCAAGCAGTCCCCAAGGGCGTGGTTTGATAGATTGACTCGAGTTGTCAAGAAAGACGGGTTCAACCAATGCCAATCAGATCACACTATGTTTGTTAAACACTCCATGGAAGGAAAGGTAGCTTTGTTTATTGTTTATGTGGATGATATCGTTATTACAGGAAATGATTATGATCAAATTGATCATTTAAAGGGACTCTTGGCAAAGGAATTTGAAGTTAAGGACTTGGGACAACTTAAGTATTTTTTAGGGATGGAAGTTGCTCGAACAAAGGATGGTATCTATGTATCACAAAGGAAATACACCCTTGACTTACTTCAAGAAACTGGAATGCTTGGGTGCAAAGCAGCTAATACACCAATAGAACAAATAAAAGGAAGAGAAGATGAAAGTCCACCAGCCGACAAAGATAGATATCAAAGTCTAGTTGGGAAACTAATCTACCTATCTCACACTAGGCCTGACATTGGGTTCGCTGTAAGCTTGGCTAGTCGCTACATGTCAAATCCAACCGAGTCTAATATGAAAATGGCGAATAGAATCCTCCAATACCTCAAAGGCACACCAGGTCGAGGCCTCCACTTCAAAAGAAATTCAAACAGGGACATTGAAGTTTATACAGATTCAGATTGGGCAGGATGCTCCACAGACAGAAAATCGACTACAGGTTATTGTTCATTTGTGGGGGGGAACCTAGTAACTTGGCGAAGCAAGAAACAAACTGTAGTGACGAGGAGTAGTGCAGAAGCAGAATTTAGAGCTATGGCCCTAGGTATTTGTGAAGGAATGTGGCTTAAGAGCATGCTAGATGAAATCAAAATTCCAATGAACCATACTGTGAGGTTACTATGTGATAACAACGCTGCTATAAGCATTGCAAAGAACCCAGTCCAACATGATAGAACAAAACATGTGGAAATTGACCGACACTTCATTAAAGAAAAAATTGATCATAAGATTATAAGTATTGATCATGTCCCATCATGCAAGCAAACTGCAGATATCTTAACCAAGGCTCTTCCAAGGAATACTTATGAAAATATCAAATCCAATCTGGGTATGATAGACATCTACCACCCAGATTGAGGGGGAGTGTTGAAGATTAGCACATATCAAATCATAATCATTTGATTCTGATTTGTCAAACTGTTACAAAACAGTGGTGTAAATAGATTTATTATCTATTATTCTGATTTCCTTATTTAGGTAGCAGCAATTATAGGAAATTATTTCTCTGTTTATTAACAAATTAGTGTACTGTATTCTATATATACCTCACAATGTAACAGTTCCAAAATATATGAAATATACAACGTATTTCTATAATAAGATTATAAGTATTGATCATATCTCATCATGCAAGCAAACTGCAGATATCTTAACCAAGGCTCTTCCAAGGAATACTTATGAAAATATCAAATCCAATCTGGGTATGATAGACATCTACCACCCAGATTGAGGGGGAGTGTTAAAGATTAGCACATATCAAATCATAATCATTTGATTCTGATTTGTCAAGTTGTTACAAAACAGTGGTGTAAATAGATTTATTATCTATTATTGTCATTTCCTTATTTAGGTAGAAGCAATTATAGGAAATTATTTCTCTATTTATTAACAAATTAGTGCACTGTATTCTATATATACCTCAAAATGTAGCAGTTCCAATATCAATGAAATATACAACATATTTCTATACTTATGACACACTACCAATGAGGGCCTTAATATTGACTATTGATCGATAAATTATCAAATGATTAGTTGAAAAAAATATTGTATCCCTATTCACGTTGTCTCTTTTCCTTTAAGATGTTAAACTAAGTGTGTCCCTCGACTTTTAAAGTATTAGCTATCCATACTTTTCTTCTAGGAAAAAGAACAGTCTACATGTTTGGAGGAGTGATACAAAATGAATAATATAATGAAAACTTTTCTACCTATCAAATATGCAAGCGTCTAAGTTCTTGTTGATGTAAAATGATGGTGAAATGGACAATATAACTGTTAAGTTATTCCCATGAGGAACATAAATGAAAAATTGTATAGAATAAGCAATCAAAAGGAGTAAAAATTAATTTAATTACTAAATACCTGTCTGGTAATGACGTTGCTCTGTTCACGAATTAAACCTACAGGCTGCATCATAACATGAAGCAAACAATGTCAACCATCATTACTATGAGCTATGCAAGGAAACTATAAGTAGACTGTATTACTGAGTAGTGAGCATGAGATGAGGATTATCACTGACCGACTGTGGGTAGCATGCATCTACAATGGCATAACGATTTTCCTACAATACGACCAAACAGAGTCACCAATTTAGACATGAAGCCAAGAATAATAAATTTTTTGCAGCCTCGGGATACAAATTATTCTTCGCGTTAAACAAAAATGATGAATTAACAAGAATAAAGAAGTTGGCTTTGTGACAAATATAACAAAAGGAACCAACCATAAAAAAATAAAGAGGGTCACCTGTTCAAATCCCAACACAAGATTCGCCCACTCAATATCTCTGGTAATTAGCAAGTTGGACCTGGCAAGCAGGGCTGCTACCTTGGCCTAACAAGATCAAGAAGTGGAAAGCAGAAATGTCCATATTAAATTTAAAAGCATACCTAACACCAAGATAGCCTCTAATCTAGCACCATAATCATGCTACAATTAATCCCTAATCTAGCATCATAACGCGCAATGATTAGCCTGAAACTACTACAGCTACCACACCAACCAAAATTTCATTATTTTTCTAAAATCCCTAAACACATTACTATATCATATGAAGCAATAAAAGATAAAACACAAATTTCACCTCTTCTGGGGATTCCGGTTGTGAGAATTCAGAAACAGATTGGCTTATAGGAGGTTGCTTCAAGAACCGTTTAGGTTTACTGGAGCCAGCAGAAAACCATCTAGGATCAAGATCAATAACTCGAGATTTGATCAATTTCTTACCTCTAGGGTTTCGCATTCTGGTATCAGAAACCCAAAGTTTGACGAAGAAGTCCCTGCTCAACTGATGATCCACTTGAGTTCCGAATCGGTGGTCATGGACAACGTGAAAATCGAGAAGATTCTTGATATTGGATTTGGATATGTAGCGCAAACCATCCTTTAAGCGATTCATCATCGCGCTTTTTTGATTAAGCGGAAATCGAAGTTGACGAATCAGATACAGTATATGATGAACATGTTAAGTAGTGAATGTAATATGAATAAAATGGTGGTTAGGAAGGAAAATGGAAAATGTAATTAATGCTACTGGTTCATGGAATATGGTCACTATATGGTTTTAGTCACGAGGGAAAGAAAAATTATCTCGAGAATTCAATCTCCATGATATATTAAATGAGAATACGCGCTAAAGTTCGAGAATAATCACGTCTAAAATATTGTATAGATGTTAAAGAAATAGGAAGATTATGCCTAATATTGCTAGATTAATGATTTAGCATTTTTGTAGATTTAGATGATTGAGTTGTAGAGATTGTCTTGATTGTTTTGTTTTCTTTTGAATTAATATATATCATTTTGGTTCAAAAAAAAAAATCACGTCTAAATATTTTTTGATTATATTTCTTTTCTTTTCAATATATATCATTTCATATATTAATTAATATTTATTATTAACTATTCTAATTTATTATTTTATCATTATTAATGTATGTATTTTAACTATTCAATTAATAAAAATTATTAAAAAAAATTCTCATGTACTATATCTATTTATAATTTATCTCGTGCATATAAAAATATTAGTTTTGATTCGAAATTCTTATTTTTTAGTCTCAAGTGATTCATACAAGTTAAATGATTTGTGTTATTTAAATTTTTTTAAAAAATTTCGAAAGAGTTGAAGGCAACATAAAAATTATGGATTTTTGGTAAAGGTTGTCCTCGATTTAGTTTTCCGTCAATATTATTTTAATTTGTAGAATTTAAAATTTTATTTTTAAACTAGTGAGATATTTGTGTGTTTGTACGATTAAAGCATGATTACCGGTGTTCTTTGAGAGTTCCTACACATTTATTAAAGAAATTGTGTCAATAATAAATAGATATTTCATTTGTTTTCAGGTTCCTGAACTAAAACACGTTCTCATACTAAAGCACGCTTCTACACTCCAATTAAGTGGGTCATGATAATAAATTAATAAATAAAATTGAAAGAATGTAGTTGATTTGTTTTAAATGTGGGACCCGTTTTAGATTTTTTTGATGAGTTACATTGATATTTGAGAATTGTAGGTGGGTTGTTTAAAAAATTGAGAAGTGTGAAACAATATAAAAAATTATGTGGGTCATGTTAGAACAATGTTTGAATCTAGTACCCTATAATTAAGTTTTGATGATAACAAAGTGAAAAGATATAGTAGTTAAATATTTCATGATTGAATTATATGCTACTTAAAATTACTATGCTCTGACTTGCAGATATGCTGATTAAAATAAGCAAGATCACGTTCTCAGCATCAGAATATGAGTTTGTGCATCAGCATCAGAAGTTGCTGAATCAGAACGTCAAGATCAGAAGTTCAACGCTTGCACATGCTGAAGCTTGATGAACAGAACTGCGCGTAAAATACTCTGATACAGAAACAAATCAGTTCATCAGCAGCGAAGCAGAATCAGAATGAGCCAAGCCAGATCGTGCATTGAAGAAGCAACGGTACTGTGCATTGAAAGCTAATCAATACCAACGGCATCATTCTAGACAAGATCTGCTAAGAAAGGAAAGCTTGTAAATAGCATTGAATCAAGAATATTTGCTTCAACGTTCATCTTCTCAAAGTGCTATATAAACCAAGCTTTGAAGATTATCACGGCTAATGCTTCCAAACTCTCTACACGTACAAAGCTGATCATTAATCTTCACTCTACAAGTTTTGCTAAACCACCAAACTCTGATACTCTATTAGCGTTTAGCAACTTAGTATTCTAAGCTTCATTTGTGTAAACATCACAGTTGTGATATAGTTTTTGTAGAAACATTCACACACATTTGATTATATCTTTGTAAGAAAGTATTGCCTTGACAAACCGGATTGTGGTTTGAATCAAGAAGGTTTTAGCAGTTGCTAAAGCAGATTTGTATTCAGTTGAATATAGTGAATTAAGACCTCGTTGGAGAGAGGCGAAATCACCTTGAACGGGTGGACTGGAGTAGTTTGAGATCAAACGAACCAGGATAAAAATACCTTGTCATTTGCTTTAAGTTTCCAGTTTTACAATTCAACCCCCCCTTCTTGTGTTTTTCACCCCTTCAATTGGCATCAGAGCGCCTGGTTCTGAGCTAAAACACTTAACCGTGTCAGTAAAAGATCCAGCATCAGAAAAACACTATGGCAGGAAACAACTCTCATTTCAGCAATGACAACAATGAGGATAGAGACAGATTCAGCGGCAAACCTCCAGTCTTTGATGGAGAAAACTTTGACTACTGGAAAGACAGAATTGAAAGCTTCTTTCTAGCACATGATGCTGATCTGTGGGATATGGTGACAGATGGATACACGCACCCTGTTAATGCAACTGGTCAGAAGATTGATAGAAAATCAATGACTGATCAACAAAAGCGTGATTTCAAGAATCACCATAAGGCCAGAACCATCCTTCTCAGTGCTATCTCCTATACTGAGTATGAGAAGATCTCCAACAGAGACACAGCTAAGAACATCTTTGATTCTCTCAGAATGACGCATGAGGGCAACGTCCAAGTCAAGGAAACAAAGGCTCTGGCGCTCATTCAGAAGTATGAGGCGTTTAAAATGGAAGAATCTGAATCCATTGAAACTATGTTCTCTAGATTCCAGATTCTGGTAGCTGGTCTCAAAGTTCTGGACAAGGGGTACTCTACTGCTGACCATGTCAAGAAGATAATCAGAAGTTTACCCAAGCAGTGGAGGCCTATGGTTACTGCTCTGAAGCTGGCGAAAGATCTCAACAAAATCACTCTGGAGGAACTTATAAGCTCCCTCAGAAGTCATGAGATAGAGCTGGAAGCTGACGAGCCTCAGAAGCAAGGTAAGCCTATAGCTTTGAAATCTAACAGAAAATCTGAATCTAAAGTTTTGCAGGCAGTTGAAGAAACATCTGATGGATCCTCATCAGAAGAAGACGAGCTTTCTCTTCTCTCCAGAAGAGTAAATCAACTGTGGAAGCAAAGACAAAAGAAGTTCAGAAATCCCAGAAGATCTGATCATAACGAGTCTTCTTCCAGACACAGAAGGACAGATTCTTCCTCTGGATACAGAAGATCTGAAGGCTCCTCAGGTAGCAAGAAGCCAAATACAAAAGACATCATCTGCTACGAGTGCAATGAGCAAGGTCACTACAAGAGTGACTGTCCAAAGCTTCAGAGGGAAAAGCCAAAAAGGAAGTTTGGAAGAGAGAAGAAGAAAAGTCTCATGGCCACATGGGATGACTCTGACTCGTCTGAAGCTGACTCAGAATCAGATGATGAACGGGCGAACTTAGCGCTTATGGCTAACACTCAAGATGACAGTGAAGCTTCTGACTCAGACTCAGAATCAGACACAGAAGAGGTATTCCCTAACTTCGCTGTTAATTTTACAAAGGCTGAACTTGCTGAAAGCCTAAATGAAATTCTGGAACGTTATCAGCAGATTAGAGCTAAATTCAGAGACCTGAAAAGGACTCTTGAATCTGACTCTAATAAGTCTGAGAGTCTCAGATTGGAAAACTCTGAGCTGAGAGATAAAATTTTAAAATTAGAAAACTCTTTACAAAACTCTCAGAAGGAACCAATTGCTGAAACTCCCAGCAACGCTGATGAGATCATCAAGGAGTATGATCATAGTTTCCAGAAGTTCCTTGCTAAAAGCATAGATAGAAGCAGAATGGCTTCAATGATCTATGGAGTTAGCGGAAACGGCAGGAAAGGAATAGGATACCTAGGTAAGGTTCCTACACCTAAAAATGTCATGGATTTAGTTATTAAACACACTCCTATAAATTCACACTTTGTGTATGGTCACACACATGACATCAAATATACTAGTAGCAATCACTTTGTGAAACCAAAATTCAATCAGAATTTTGGTAAAACTAACAAAACAGGACCCAAGAAGATCTGGGTACCTAAGGATAAAATAATACATGTTGCAGATATCTTTAGCAGCAAGTCAGAAACACCAGTCATGGTACCTGGACTCTGGCTGCTCACGTCACATGACGGGAAGAAGGCATATGTTCCAAAGCCTGGAACTTAAGCCTGGAGGCCACGTTGGCTTTGGAGGCAATCAGAGGGGAAAGATAATTGGCTCTGGAACTGTAGGTAACGGAAATCTTCCCTCTATTAATAATGTTCTGCTTGTTGATGGATTGATGCATAACCTGTTATCCATAAGTCAATTAAGTGATAACGGTTATGATATAATCTTTAATCAAAAATCATGTAAAGCTGTTAGTCAGAAAGATGGGACTATCCTATTTAATGGTAAGAGGAAAAACAACATTTACAAAATCAAACTTTCTGAACTTAAGAGTCAGAACGTAAAATGTCTTCTGTCTGTTAACAACGAGCAGTGGATCTGGCACAGAAGATTGGGGCATGTTAGTATGAGAAGAATATCTCAGATTAACAAACTCAATCTGGTCAGAGGACTTCCAAATTTGAAGTTCAAGTCAGATGCTCTGTGTGAAGCATGTCAGAAAGGCAAATTTGCAAAACCATCTTTTAAATCCAAAAATGTTGTTTCTACCTCTAAGCCATTAGAACTTCTGCACATTGACTTATTTGGACCAGTTAAGACTGCTTCTGTCAGTGGCAAGAAGTATGGGTTAGTAATCGTAGATGACTATAGCAGATGGACATGGGTAAAGTTCTTAAGACACAAGGACGAGTCACACTCTGTGTTTGTTACCTTCTGTAACCAAGTTCAGAATGAAAAAGATCTTAGAATCGTTAAAGTCAGAAGTGATCATGGTGGAGAATTTGAAAATAAAGATTTTGAGTCATTCTTTAATGACAAAGGCATTCTGCATGATTTCTCTTGTCCTAGAACTCCCCAACAAAATGGAGTTGTAGAACGAAAGAACAGAACATTGCAAGAAATGGCCAGAACCATGATCAACGAGACAAACGTTGCTAAGACTTTCTGGGCAGAA